TGAACTTAGAATTAAATCTCATTAATATCCAAGAATATGAATATCAGAATTTTGTTCAAATCCAACTAGATGCAAATCCGCCATAGAATGAATGCGAGCAGAAAGTGGGCATTTTACAAACAGTAATGGGTTTTTTAGAAAATAATTAATTTCTTGACCTTTCATCACCTCTTAATATATTTTGGACCAAAAATACTAGATAGGAGCACAATAGGTACCAAAGACACAATAAAATAGGGGTATTAAACAACAAATAACTCATACAAAACGAGAGTTATCAGTACAACAGTTTTCAAGCTCTCCCTGATGAGTCTCTCAAGCAGACTTTTCACTGCTTCAATACCCTAATCAATAAGTGCATAAAGTGCGACATGATTAGGACCTAAGAAGAGAATAACATGCTCTTATTGAAAAGGTTGAATGCTGAATGGGAAACTTGTCTATGTCTCTCCAAGCGAATCAGGACCTAGAATAGTGGAGTCTTCATGATGTGTACCACACCTTGCAAGAACAGAAGCAAGAGGTGCAGAAGACCAAGGTCGCTCTGGGTGGACCTCTGACTCTAGTCTCTGACTCCAAATAGATTGGGTCTACTCAACCACATAGAGAACGTAGATCAAAGTATGATAGAAGGAGATGGAAGAAATCTCTTGTAGTAGGGAGCGATGTTGAAGACAGAGCTTCAAGCTCTGAAGATGATGACATAAGTGCGTTCGCACAATCCTTGGCTCTCATTACCAAGCTATTTCAGAGGAAGTTTGGGAAGAAGATTTTTGACAAATGAGGAAGTAGAATATATAAGGGAAGAAACATAAGTTATGAAGCAAAGAAACCTTCTTCTCAACTAAACAAGACGGAGGAAGAACAGTCAGATCAGAAGAAGCATGTTGTAAGATGCTTTAGATGTGGAAAATGGGTCATTACTCCAAGGAATGCAAAGGCCCTCTGGTGAAAGATGAATTGTACTACAAAAATAAGTACAAGTACAATCGGCCCCAGAGGAGCCTCATGGCCGAGCAAGGAAACTGTGTCTCTGACTCCACATCTGAATAAGAAGACCAAGCTCACTTATATGGCATGGCTGTTGAGAATGAAGCAGAAGAGTCTAGATCTGGCTTCGACTCTCAGTTATGCTCTACCTCTGGTTATTCCCATTCTGATCTAGAAGAAAGTATCTCTGTTTTAACCCGAGATTTTCTAAAACTAGAGCAAAAACTCTCTGTTGAAAGGTCAAAAAGGAAAGTTTTAGAAAAGGAAAAATCGTTCTTTGAACGAGAGACAGAGCTGTTATCTGTAGAAAAGCAAGTGCTTTCTGTGGAGAAAGAATAACTTTTAAAAATGAAACTTTCCAAAGAAAATAGTCTTAAAACAGAGTGCTCAGAGCTAAAAACGGCCATACAAAAAAAGATAAAGAACTTTTATAGAAAGAGCGTGATAGGTTAAATTCTGAAGCCATGAAAAATTATTTCCAAAAAGAAAGGGAATTCTTACACCAGCGTTTGCAAAGAAAAGAGCTCTTGACTAAAAAGTATCAAGATGCTCAACAAGTGTATGAAAAGATAAATTCTCAATAGGATAGAGCAGGGATAGGTTATACAGATCTAGACCTCACCTAGAAGAAGAAATTTATTCTTGAGTCTGTGTTTAGGTTAGGGGCAGAGCAAAATCCCGATTTTCTAGCCTTGCCTAAAAACTCACCTTTTCAAAGATGTAAACTTGAAAATGGGGCTAGAACTCAAAAACTGGAATTTGAAAATATTTCTTACTCTTCAAAAGGTATGCAAACAGTTGCTTTAAACATCATACTGGAGACAAAAGGAATTTTTTGTTTTGGCTCTCATAATCCTGAGCATCTTAAATCAAGTGGTAATGAAGTCAAACCCAAACCAAAAGAAACCAAGAGTTAATGAAAACATGATTTTGTTTAAACTCTGAATCCAAATTTGATGGTTGAATTTACGAAAAAGTGGGACAAGTCTTTGTACAAGATTTGCTTGAGGTCTTGAAACAGCCTTCTGTATCTCATGTAGAAAATTTTGAGAGTAATTCCTCGGATATTTTTGGGAGTTCCTCTTAAATGCAACAGAAGGATGAAGGCACCATTACATGTTTACGAAAATCTCAAACTCTCAATGATACCTCTGCGACTCAACATCCACACAAGGATTTTCTTGACTCTGATTCTGAATCAGAGGTGGACTCGAGGAAATAGCAAACTGAGACAAAGATAATGGAACCATAACCAGAGGTTGTTAAACTTCCAAGTGAGATATCAAATAAATCTGTTCCAGTAATGGAACGGAGTAAAAAGATTCCCATATGTCTTGATTTCATGGACATGTGCTTAAAAGCCAAGTCTTCTCTAGAGCTTGAGAAGAAAAACAAGGCTAGGAAATTTAAACCTTTCATCTCTGCAACAAAAGTTTCTAAACCTAATTTCTTACAGCCTAGTAAGCTAACTTCAAAACAGAAAGGAAAACCCGTTGCTAATTCTATGTTAAATTCCTTTGTTTCAGAGAAGCCTCTGAAGGCCAAAGGAGTAAGACGGGACAAAGGAAGGACATATAAGACTAAGGCTAAAATTCTAAACAATCAAAACTAGATAGAGAGTTCGTTCGAACTAACAATGCTAGGAATGATTGTAATAATCTATTTTATGAATCTAATAAACCTTTTTGTCATCAAAATTGTGTTTATAATTGTAAATGTCTCTCTTTGCTGCAAAAATTAAAGTAGCACCTTTCTAATCCCAACTGAATTCTCTTTGGGTCATCAAAGATTAATTCCAAGAGGAACCAGAAGAAAAGGAAAACTCCTAAGGCCAAATCTGGAAAACCAGATCGCAAGTCTGGGAAATCAGGTGTTGAGACAGATCCTCTCCCTAAGCTTGTTGTCAAATCTCCAAGGCCTATTCATCGAGGACCCATCATGAAATGGGTACCTAAATCCCTGTGATTTGTTTTGTAGAAGCCGCATGTGGATATTTTGTATCTTGACTCCAGATAATCAAGACACATGACCGAAAACAAAAGATTACTCTCCTCATACAGAGAGAAAATTGGAGGACGAGTAACTTTTAGGGATAACAAGCAAGGAGAAATAAAAGG